GACCTGACCCTCCGACGAGAGGGTCGTAGTGGGCTTCCAGCACAGGGGGTCTTTAACGCACAATGGGCATTGCGGGCTCCCTGACTAAGTTTATCCGTCAACCAAGCGTGCCAGTCCTGACCAGCCGTACGCTGGTAGCGCTTCGTGCAAGCAGCAAGAACCTCCTTCTGGCGAACGAGAAGGGCCTCCAGCCTAGCAAGCCTCTCAGCAGCTGGTCAGAAGGCCTCTCCGCTTCGCTCAGAGAAGGGTCCCCGGCAACATGCGAGGAGCCACCCCCGCCCTCGCCACGCAAGGGGCGGGGGAGGCGCGTCCTGAAATGCATCCAGCTCAACGCGGGGAGGAGGGTTAAAACAATCCCAGTCCTTGAGCGAGTCCCTGATGTCCTGCAACAGAGAAATGTTGTCCTGGTGGGTCAGCTGACCAGGGACCCACTCGGACTGGAGCACGCCCGTCAGCAGCTCGCCAACGGTGCGCCTGGTGAAGGTCGAGGCTTGACCAGCCCAGACCGCAGGTAAAAGCTGGGCAGCAGCACGGAACCTAGAACAAAACCACCTCATGGCACGAAGCTCTGGGCACCGCCTAGCTTTGACATCTTTCTGAAGGATCGGCTTCCAACAAACCTGGGGGTCCTTGCCCCTCGAACCACGGCAGGGAAGCTCCTCCTCCAGCCTCTGACAAAGCTCTCCCTCAGTCTCGTTGGCCCAAATCTGATAGGCCTTGCTCAGAAGACGCTGGACCTCGCTGGCATCCTGGGACCTCAAGGCTTTCTCTCCCCACTCGAGGAACCTGCGGGCCCTTCCGAAGTCACCTGGGGGGGGGGGCAACGCCCGCAGGGGCGCCCACGGGGAGAGGGGGGGCTTGCGGAAACCCAGGGCCTGCAGGCGGCAGAGGGCAGGGTAGAACTCCAGCTCCACCACGAAGTGCGGCGAGAACTCACTATCGCCGCATCGCTGCACTTGCTTCACACCTCTGGCCAAGCCTCCAGAAACGAGGAAGTAATCGTAGTCCGACTGACGAGCGCCGAAACATGTGGGCGCACCAGTCGAGATAAGTTCGCACCTAGCCAGCTCCAGAAAACCCGTATCTCGAAGCTCGGGGGCTCGAGGTTGAAGTCGCCCCCAACGACGTACGAGAGGCCCTTCGAGAACCACATGGGAGCCTATAGCCTTATAGAGCTCCAACTGCCTGGCCGCGAGGCCCTCCGTGTCGAACCCGTAGACAGAGACGAGCCCAAACTGAACACCCCCTGGGAGATGAGCAACAGCACCCAGAGCACGGCCTTGAAAGATCTGCAGAGGTTGGTGGAGCCCCATGAAGGCCCTGGCAAGGATCGCTACGCCCCCTGACGTGCCTCCTTCAGCCGTCCGAACTGCAGGCTCCCACAGGCTCTTCCACCCATGATCGAGACAAAACTTCGAAGCACGACCAATCGAATCTTGATCAGCCAAGTGGTGCTCCTGCACTAAGATGACGCGGGGGGTCTCCGCCGACGGAAGCCAATCACGAAGCGAGCCCCAGCTGTTGCAGTTAGCCGTGGCGATTACCATTCCGAGAGTGTCTTCGTCTGGCCTGGACCCTGGGCCTGGGCTCCTGGGCCCGAGAGATGATGACTAAAGCTAGAACTAAAGTTGGCTCCATCAAAATTGGACTCCCACCCTTCCCCAATCCGACAAAAACTACACTCACGCGAGACAGGGGACGGGTCAGGCGGGGAGCCGACGCAGGAGCTCGAGGGGATAGGCCCCTCACCTTCAGCAGCCACTACCCCCGCCCCCACCGCCGTTGGGGGCGGGGGAGCGAAAAGAAGAGTCAGAAGATGAGAGTACCTTCGAGAGCCTGGCGCGGAGAGCAGGGTCGGCCCCCGAAGGCCGCGACGAGCTCGAAGCGCCTCCAGGTGAGGCGGCTGGGGCTCCACCTCCAGCCTCAGAAGTTGCCCGCTCAGCGCCACCTGGCGCTGCAGCGCCAGCTCCTTGGCCAGGTTCTCCAGCACCTTCACCGCCACCAGGTGTGTCGCCCTCCGCGGTCCTCCTCTTCTTCTTGGACAGCCTCTTGAGATGCTCCTGATGCTCACGGCGAGCAGCCTCCAGGTGCGACGAAGCCTTGCCGAAGAGCTGCTTCGCCATGTCCTTGAGGCCCGAGCGCAGCTGGGCCTTGCGCGCCTCCAGCTGCTCCTTATCCTCCGCGGACATCTCGAACTCCTCTGGCATGTTCGCGCACAGGTCATCGACGAGCTCGAAGCTGAGCTCCTTGCCCTCCACCAGGTCGCGCAGGCTGATGGTCGGGCCAGAAGACTGCTTGGGCGGCACCGACGAGGCCACCTCCAAGCTGATCTGCTCGACGAGCTCCGAATACTGCCTCTCAAAGCCATCCAGCTCATCGGCCATCTCCTGGATGGAAGACTCGAGCATGACGGTCGCCTCACGCCAGCGCTCCAGCTTCGAGATCTCCTTTTCGAGCTTCTTCTCCACCTGACGATCTTGCTCTGGGTCTGCGAAGCACGGGTGTGGAGCGAGGCCTCCTGCTGGCGAGATGGCTGGAGAAGCTTCGCCCGAGCGTAGTCGTACTGCTTGGCCAGCTCCAATTGCCCTTGGCGTGTGGCGATGGCGGCCAGCTGCTGCAGGTCATCCGCGCTGAGGCCCTTGGTGTTGATGCCATCAGAGCCCGCTCCACCACCTCCGCCGACGGGACCTGGAGGAAGCGGAGCGCCGCGAGGGTCACCAGCGTAGTGATGACGAGCGCCAGCACCTTCTTGAGCTGCGGGGCGCAGCGGGTCGACCTCCGAGCATGTGGCGCCGTTCCATTGAGCTTTGCAGTGCTTGCACTGCCACATCCAGCCCAAGTTGCGCGCACATCCACAGGAACCGCACCTCCACTTGACATGGCGGTGGGGTGCTGGGCGGCTCTGCCAGGGCGCGGGGGCCATGCGCGCGCGCCGAGACGGGCCGAGCCAAAGTGACTCGCGACAGCAGCGCCCTTCTGAAGTTCGCTGCCGACAAGCTCCTCCAAATTGGCTGGAACCAGAAGGACTGAGGAGGAGGAGGAGGAGGAGGAGGAGGAGGAGGAGGAGGAGGGAGGAGGAGGAGGAGGAGGAGGAGGAGGAGGAGGAGGAGGAGGGCCCCTGCGGAGACCCCCTGGCGCTTCGCAGCTGCCGGCGGGGCTGTTGTCGCCATGGGCGGGCGGCAACCGCCCGATGACAGCCTTCCTCGGGGCCGTCTCGGGGTCGGGGCCTTCCGGGGCCATGCTGGGGCGGCATCGGGGGCCTCTTGGGGGTCTCTTGGGCTCCTCTGGGCCGTCTCGGGGGTCCCTTGGGGCTATCGTGGGCGGTCTCGGGGCCCTCGTGGGGCGCTTCTGGGCCGTCTTCAGCCAAAAAACGATTTAGTGGTCTTTTTGGATCGTCTTGGGCGCTCAGCCGACCGGAAGTGTCGGCATCTGGAAAACATGCACAGACCAAGAGACCATTATGATGCTTGCCTGTCGGAGGCCTCTCAAGAATGCTCTTCAAGCCCACTGGGCCCATCTTGGAATCTTGGAACCACTCGGCAACCGTTTTTGGGAGTCTTGAGCCTCAGAGGAGGCGTTCGAGGTGTCCTTGAGCTCTTTTGGGGGCCTCTTGTTGACATGTTTAGGTCGGGCATGTCCCCCTACAGGCGGGTTTTGGAGCAAAATAAAAAATGCCTAAGCAATGCTGAACAGTAAAAAAACAAAAAACAAAAAATCGTCCCCCGACTATTTTTGACTAGTTGAATTCTACAGGGGCACGCCCGACTCAGTGCTGTGTTGGGGTTCTCTTCGGGCCCCCCTGCGCTCTCCGGCGAAACCCCGCAGGGGCTGCCGCTGGCGCGGAGGGGAAAGGCCCAGGGCAGGCCGCCCGGGGATCCAGCCCTCCGGTGACCCAGAGGAGGGGGGGGGGGAATCCTGCAAGACTTCCACCCCCCCGAGCATATTCGGGCCAGGGGAAACGGGGGGATATAGCAAAGGGGGGGGGGTTGAGAATCAGCTCGCATGGCTGATTTTCCCGGCGCCTCCCGGCGCCGGGAGGCGCCGTTGTATCGGGGAATGGGCCCCTCGGCGAGGCCGAAACCAGCTGCATGCAGAAAATTTCGTAAACCGCCCTTTTCCAATCCCCCTCTTCGTCCGGCCCAACTCAGGCAGATGGGGAAGATGAGCCAAGGAGATTTGTTTGAGGCTGGTGGTGAGTGAGTGACGACATTTCGCGAAGCGAGTTCGGTGGAGTACGAAGCCCGACGGGCCAGCTCTGCTCGGCTGCGGACCTCAGGCAAGCGCCCTGCGAGAATATTGACAAGATGTATGGCTCGATCAGGGTTCATGGCCTCGTGACACGGTTGCCCGAGGCCTCTCGGGCACTGACTGGGAAGTGCCAGCACAAGCAACCCGGGGAAGCCCGAAAATGACCACCATCACCGAGGTCGGGAGCATCTCCCCTCGGTGTCCCAGCCCTGGGGCCCTGGCCCCCGGCACCCCAGCGCACGACCCGTGCGCACGCATCCACCTGGCGCGGGCTATGATTTCGACATCCGCCGGCCCCGAGGCGCCGTGAAAGAGGAGCCCACACGCTGGAGCTGCGGCGACAACCATTGGGCGGGACCAAATAGCGGCAAGTAAAGCATACGATTGCAATCACTATGAGATGCGGCAGGCGGTTCAAGCGGAACGTGGAGCCCATCGAAACCCAGGGGATGGCAAGGCTGAGAAGGTGGAGGAATGTAAAGACTCTTTGAGAGTGCTTATGCTTGTTGTGGCAGATTTTCGCTACGTAGTCCTTGGGGGTCTGGAATGGAGTAGACGGGGTGAGGAAGGGGAGGGGAACGGGGGGAGTGGAGAAACGAGGAGGAGGGAAGGAGAGGGTGAAGGGAGGAGGAAGGGAGTGGAGAAACGAGGAGGGAAGGAAGGGGGGAAGGAGGAGGGTGGACAAAGTGCGAACACGCCGAGAAAAAGAGAGGGCAACGCGCCTTCGAAGGAAGCCCTGCAAGTTCGTCCAGTCATCCTCGCTCAGATTCCCTGCCTTGATCTTCTCGATTTCCTCTTTCCATTTGGTGAGACCTTTTCTTATCCTGTCTTCTTGCCTGACAGAGCGGGGTCGGGTGGAGGTCCTATTGAAGTCGGACGGTATGGAGCACGAGAGCATTGAAAGAAACCAGGGAAGGGACAAGAAGACGAAGAAAGAACTGCAAGAAACTTTACGGAAAGTAGGGAAGAGGAGACTGGAAGGACATATGGAGATCTATGTATCCGAGGAGACCCAAATACGCCCAAACAACCTAGATCTTCGACCTTCGAAATTCTCCCCCCACCCGATTCCTCCTCCCCAATTCCCTCCTTCCCTCTCCCTTCTTCTTCTCCGCCTGTATACTCCTCCTGCTACTCCTTTTCCTCCTGGCCAATCTCCTCCCCTCCTCCTTCCCCCTAGAGGACCTCACTCCACTCATCCATATCCTCCTCCGCATCTTCCATTTCATCCCTCTCAACCTCTCTTCCTAATGAGCATTGTCTCCTCTGTCGCATCCCCAGACGTGTCAGCAAGGCGGCTCGAGCAATTCAATCGACGCGACCTTAACCATTATGATCGCAAAATTTGGTTCATCATAACTGCTACATGGATGGAAGGCGGCTGACAAAATGTGCATTTCGCCTCAGAGCTGCGCACAGAGGTCTGAGACGATATCAGCAACTACGCTGTTGTTGCTGTGGCTCGCGTCTTGGCACCTGGCGCATTCGCCTGAAAATGAGAAATCTCCACCATCCAAACGGGTGGAACTCATGTGCTCAATGTGTGGCTCTCACCTTAGCGTCGGCCACACTTTCTCGCTGAATGAACGGCTGAATGGCGTTTCGCTTCAGACAGGTAATGCCGCTCGAATCTGACTCAGAGGGTGCAACCCGAAACAAACAGGTGTGCGACAACAACACTGTTGGGATGTGATTCCGTTCTAAAAATGGGGCTCTCGCGTGAGACCTCCTCGGGCATTGGGATCCAAGATACAAGCTGAACCAAAATCACGCGCGCGCTTCGCGCACGCTCAGGTTCTAACCGTACCCCAAGGAACTCGTACCGCATGCCAGTGAGGCATGCAAGGGCGATTCCCACTTGTTGCATGGGAGTCGTGCCCCCAGCAAACGCGCAAGGGCGTTCGAACGATTTCGACATGCGCGCGCGAGAGGCCCGCTTGGCCGTATTCCAGGAAGATGTCAAGACACCTATGTTTTGCGTGCAAACTCGCAAGAACGCGCGCGTAGACGTGGCTTGAACAATCATTTTGCATAACCAGTGTCGTGGAGGTGTTCTCGGGGAAGTCAATCTTGAAATCATTACGAACACTTGCGGTTTTCGGTCATGCGCGCGCGACGACGCGGGCGCGTGGACTTCTCCGTCGTTTGCAAAGGGTTCTTGAACACTGATGATTTGTGATGAACAGGTGCCAGCGCATAGTATGCTTTAACGCAGATGAGGGCGGGTGTCGATACCAGCTGGGCTGGGATGGTACGAATCCATACCTGAAATGAGCGGCCGGGCAAAACCGTATGTAAATCGTCCTACCCCAAAGAGGGGGGGTAAACAGAGAGGGGGGGAGATCCGGATTTTCTTCGCAAACATGAGCAATCGATGTTGTGCCGTCTATGTGGTGCAAGATGTGTGGTGCAATATGTCTTGTGCACTCTATCTGGTACAATATATGTTGTGCAACGCACGGGGTGCATTGTTTGCCGTGCAATCTATGCTGTGCAAGATATGAAGTACAGTCTAAGTTATGCGGTCTGTGTGATGCCATACACGTTGTGCACCCTATGTGGTGCAACATGTGTCGTGCAACCGATATTGTGCAACATATGTTGTGCACCCCAGGTGAAACTATCTATGTTGTGCAACCCAGGTGGTGCAACCTATGAGGTGCAATCCACTTTGACTGTCTTGAAGCTGTCCTCTCCACTGCTCGTGCAAACATCCCACCCACCCACCCGCAACTTGGTTTGCAAAACCTGTTCAGACCGACTACGACGACACCGACGACAACGACTAGGACGATACCGACGACGTCTCCGACGACTTCGACGACGACAACGACGCCGACGCCGACGACGACGAAGACGACGACGACAACGCCAGCGAAGGCGACGACGAGGGAGGAGGAAGGACGACGACGGCGACAACGACGACAACGACGACAACGACGAGGGAAGAGGGAGGACGGCGACGACGCGAACGACGACGAAGGAGGAAGGACGGCGACGCCGACGACGACAACGACGAGGGAGGAGGGAAGACGACGACGACACGACGACGACGACGGCGACGAAATAGGAGGGACGACGACGAGACGCCGACGACGGACGACGACGACGACGTGGGAGGAGGAGGAAGGACGACCACGGCGACAACGACGACGGAAACGACCACGACGCCAAAGAGGACGACGACGACGAACACGAGAAAAGACAGAGGACGACGTAGGCGACGACGACGACGACGACGACGCGGGAGGAGGGGGGACGGCGACGACGACGACGACGACGACGCAAGAGCGCGCGCGCACGCTTTTGTTGAAAATCTGTGTTGCGAAACCTTCGGTTTTTGTAGGTTTTTTGGACGCACGATTTTGAAATCCGTCCGAAACCGATGGGTTTTGCAGACTTTCGGCATACGCCCGCGACGACGCGCGCGTTTGCACTTCGTCCTATTTTTTGCAAAGGATTCTCGCGACGGCACACGCGCAAGGGCGTTCGACAGATTTCGACATGCGCGCGCGCGAAGCCCGTTTGGTAGCATTGTGTGAAAATCTTGAAAAACCTATGGTTTTCGTAAGATTTCGCAAGAGCTCGCGCGGAAGCTTTTTTAGCAAACCAGTGTTGCGAAACCATGTGTTTTTGTATGTGTTTTGGAAACTCGATTGCGAAATCCTTCCGGCACAGAAGGTTTTTGAAGGATTTCGGCATGCGCGCGCGACGACGCGCGCGTGTGCTCTTCGTCCCATTTTTTTGCAAGGGATTCGTGAACAATGTTAGAACAAAAAATGTCACCGCATAGTGTTTTTTACAAGGGACCCTCTGGGGGGGGAACCCGGCCTAGCTGGGATGATCTGATCTCATATTTCGGATGGACGAGCGTGTAGAATATATATATATATATATATATATATATATATAGATATATATATATATATATATAATATTATATATGAAATCATACTATCCCAGGGAGGGCCGATAAGTCCGGGGGGGGGGGGTAGAGTCTAGTGTCTTTCTAGAAAGGAGAATATGTGTTGTGCGAGCTATGTGGGGCAATCCACGCGGTGCATTCAGCCAATGCGGTGCAGAGGCTGTGATACAATATATGCGATGGTCCGCGGAGCGCCAGAAGTTCATTTGTACGCCACTTGTTTTTCTTCGATGAAGGGGAACATCCTTCCTCCTCCCTCCTCCCTGCTGCTCCTCCTCCTCCTCCTCCTCCTTCTCCTGCTGCTCCTCCTGCTCTTTTTTTCTTTTTCCGTGGGGCGGCGACGAGGCGGCGACGGGGCAGCGACGGCGGCCTCAGAGCCGCCAGAGCGGCAGACAAGTGCAGACGACGGGCGGCGACGGGGCGGCGACGGGGCGGCGACGGCGGCCACCTAGCCGCAGTGTCATATCGGGTCGGGCGAAAGGGGGGGATAGCAAAGGGGGGGGTTGAGAATCAGCTCACGTAGCTGATTTTCCCGGCGTCTCCCGGCGCCGGAGGCGGCCATGTATCGAGGAGTGGGCCCCTCGGTGAGGCCGAAACCAGCGGCATGCAGCAGATTTCGTAACCCCCCCTTTCCCAATCCCCCCCTTCGCCCGGCCCGATCATAGTAAGAAGTAAAACGAACCCCTAAATTGAAGTACTGTTTGGGGACTGTTCAATCCCGCGCAGGAGCCCCAAACCAGTTCACTGACGAAAACAATTGTGGAGGAGAAGGATGGGCGGGAAACGATGAGGAATACTAACATGGATAAGGTGGTGAGGAAACGATGGATGGGTAGAGGAACGGAGATGGACGCCACCCAGGTAATTTGGTCGGGGGATCGCGCCACGTCGGCGATGCGTCGGCGACGTCGGGATGAAGAGCAGTATCGCGCCCCAGAACTCGCCGCAGCGCCGATGCATCGGCGATGCGACGCGTTCCTTCGACCCCGTCTGCTCCCGCGGCTGTCGGGAAGCCTGGCCGTGGCCTTCTGTGTGGCTCGAACCTGCGCCGACCCATCCGCGGATGGCGCCGCTCGGTCTTCGACTGTCTCCGCCGAAGGCCTCCGAAGGCCTCAAAAACCCTCCGAGCGCAACACCGCCCCGCCTCGAGCCTCGGGGATCTTCTGACCCGGGTCAATCCAGACCCGGGTCAGTCAGGTCTTTCAGAATCCTGCAACATCCTGCGCCCAAACCCAGGTCAATGCGAAGGATCCTGCAACCGAACCATGCCTGGCGTGGCAAGGGTTTGGGGTGCGCGCATGAGTATCGTTTCTCCGATCCCTATCCCCAGCAGCGTGGCCTGGGCCCCACTGGCCGATTAACCCCCCTAGATGGGGATACTGGCCGTTCCCTTCGGGTTTCGAGGGGCGTGTCCCCAACTGGGGGGGTAGTCTGGTGGGGGTCTCGAAGGGGCTGGGTTGGGATGGGGAGGGGGGTCGGCTACACGATACTGAGCGCAGGCAGCCCCCCCCCCCGGCGCCCTCCCCCCCCCCCCAGGCAGCCCCTCAACAGGCCCCTCGAGCAGTCCCCCGCCGGCGGTCTCAGCACCCCAGCCCCACAGGGGCCTGGAGCGCCCCAGAGGCGCCGCCGGAGGCGGCTCCAGGGCGCTGGGACCGCCCTGTGGACGGCCGTCGGACCCGGGCCAGGAGAAGACATCCTGCAAGAGCAGGAGGCCCTCCGTCGGCCAGAGCCAACAGAGCATCCAGGGGTATACCCTCCCAAGGATACACAAGAGCATCCAACAAGCACGGAGAACATTGGGGGGGGACCCTCCCCGAGCCGACCTCGATCCTGCTCCTCGGTCCAGCTGTATTCGGGGGGCCTGTTGAGGCCCGCTGGCAACACCTGCCACACGGCCGGTGCGCAACCCCGAAGCCTCACCGGGCCCGCCTCCGCGACACGAGCCACGCCCGCGCGCACACGCAGGGCCCCCAAGACCTCCCCAAAGAGGGGGGGGGCGCAAGTCATGGCCGGCGGCATGTGCGCGGCCCAAGGGGAGGGCCGGGGACGTCATGAAACGAGAGGATGCGCCATGAAATCTGGGGAGACGTCATGGCCCCCGCCATGATATCCCCCCCAGCCTTTTGTTGTTCCCATCCTACTTAAGGACCACATCCCAGAAATGATTTCGAGCACCCGGAAAAGTGTCAAAGAGTGTCGAGACAGTGTCGAAACAGTGTCGGGCGAGTGTCTCCCAGGGCCCGACACGTGAAAACCCTTGAATTTCGGAACTTTCTCTGGCGCTCGAAATTCTTCTGGTGATCAAGGCTAAAGTAGGTTGGAGCATCATAACCCCAGTCATCACCCCCCTCTTGGCCGCCCCCGGCCCAAGACCTCCCAAAGTTCACAGCCTGGCGACGCGCGGGGTGGCGCTGCCTCGCGCCCTGGGGGAGCTGGACCTGCGGCCCCTTCAGCTCCGGGTCTATCTCCTTCTTCTCCACTTCTTCGGGCACGTCGGCCTTCTTCTCCTCCTCGTGAGGGGGTGCGGTTCCCGAGGGCAGCGAGGACCGGTGGTTGGGTGGGGCGGGGGGGGGAGGGGAGTTGGAGGTACGGCAAGTTCTTGACGTGTCGACCCAGGCGTTGGTTCCAGACACCGCGGGGATCGTTCAAACTTGAACGATCGGCCCTTTCAAAAAGGCCGGGTCGTTCAAGGACGGGCCAGCTCTGAGCCGCAAGCGGCGTTCCACCTCAAAGGCACGCGCTGGGATCGCCGCCGGTCGACACGACGCGAACCTGCCGTATGAGGGTGGGGCAGGAATGGCAGGAGAGCCCGGAATCGAATCGACAAGTCGGATCGGCGATCGACATGAGTCGGATCGACGGAACCCAAATCGGAATGCGGAACCCAAATCGGAATCCCAAGCCGAATCGAATCGGAATTGGAAGCCATCGAAGTCGAATCGAATCGAATCGGAGGAATCGGAACGAGCCCTGGAATGGACATGGTGGGGGCGGGATTGCGACTCCTCACGCTAAACATGAAGCTTTGAAAAGGAAATGTTGAATTCGCTCCTGAAATCTCGGTACAACCCAAAAACATTTCGCGCCTGATCTATCCTCAGATGCATGAGATGCTGACAGAGAGGTTGAATGACATATCTTGGAGGGCTCTGTCGGAGCACCCCCAGAAGCAAATTATTGAATGAAGAGTGGGGTTCGAATACTAGCGCTCAATAGCAAGCGTGTCGCTTGATAAACCATCCGCAACATATACTTGAACGGGTATTCGAAAGTAATACACGATCATGCATCAGACTGTGATGAGATTGCACACGACGATTCTGACGCTGATGAGTAGTATGAAGATGATGATGACGATGCCGATTCTGCTGCTGCTGCTGATGATGTTGATGATGATGCTGAGGATGATGGCGGTGGTGGTGAAGATGATGATGGTATGGATAATGGCGAGGGGTGTCGGGGGGGGCGCCACCAGGGGGTCCTAGGGGAGGTCCCGCCTTCATGGTCGGCGGCACTGGCGGTAGGATCTTCGCAATACGAGAGGATAGAAAGGGAAGAGAAACGGGGGCCTGGCTCCCGACTGTTTCACTCCCACCCTTAAGTCGGGCCTGCCCCTCTACAGGAGGACTATTCAAAAATAGTCACAAAATAGTATGGGGACGATTTGTTTACTATATTTGCCCATTTGGAAGGTCTTTTGGATTATTTTTTATTTTTCGCACAAAACCCCCCTGTAGGGGGACACGTCCGACCTCATCCTACCCCGTCCTGCTCCCCGTCAGTCTCCCTCCATCAATGCCGGCCTTCCGCCAATGTGCCACAAAAAGGTCACCTCTGGTGGGCGCGCCGCGCCCCCCCGTCGACGTTGTCCTCCTCGTCTTGCCCACCTCGTTCGAAACGGGTTTGTCCTCCACGTGCGTCTCCCCCTCCCCCCTTCGCCCTCCCGCCCGTTCCCCCTCTCCCCCCCCGTTCCCCCTTCAGCTGCGCTACCCCTGGTCCCCCCCCCCCTCATTTTATGCTGTTCCCATCCTACGTAAGGACCGCATCCCAGAACTAATTTCGAGCACCCGGAAAGGTGTCAAAAGAGTGTCGAGACAGTGTCGAAATTGTGTCGGGCGAGTGCCTCCTAGGGCCCGACACGTGAAAACCCTTGAGATTCGGTACTTTTCCTGGCGCTCGAGATTTTTGGCGATCAAAACTAAAATAGGTTGGAGCATCATAACCCTCATTCGACATCCGCCTCCACTTCCACTCCAGGATTGGAACTGGAGCCGGAACCGGTCAAAAAACGGCGACGAACCGGAAAAATAACGGCGTCGGAACCGGCAACAAAACGGCAAAACGGAACCGGTAACAAAAACGGCCCTGTCGTTTCCAGGGCCCACTAAAGGTCCACCCTTCTCATTCGACATCCGCCTCCACTTCCTGGTCTTGCCAAGCGGCTCTCTCAGCGCCCCCCTTCGGCCAGACCCAACCCGCCGCTAAGGCCTCGTGCACGGACGGGTGGAGCACGACAACGACAAAACGCTCCACGACGGAGTCCTCCACCTTTTTTTTTCAGCATTTTTTTTGAAGCACTGAGGGCAGTGCAACGCACAGGGGGGAATACCAGAACCTCTTTTGCATATATATATATATACATATATATATATATACATGCGCATACCAAGCCCATGCCTGCGCGAAGGCACAAACGAGCCCCCGACCGGCCAAACTCTGCTCCTCGTCATGTGCACTGCAGCCTTGCACCCTGGAGAGCCGACAGGACCCCCCCCACCCAGCTTCGGTGCGGTGCCACACGCCACGATCGGGAACGTCAGCACAGCTATCGCATTGCAGGCCGGACACGCATGCCACCATCAAATCTCGCTGGCAGGGGCTGCGCTGGACCCGCAAATCGACTATCTCGTCACGGTCATCTAGCTCTACGATAATCACCAGAGATGCCCTCGCAGGGGAACGCTTACTCAAAAACCCCTGGTGCACACCAGCGAGCACCTCAAAGGCAACTCCTTCTCACTTGACGACATTCAAACCTGTGCGTATGGACCAAGCGGCTGCACCAGAAGGCGCCCGGCTCATTGAACACAACGTTTTCCGACGACAACAAGTCCGCGGCCCTGCTGCGAGAGCGCCCCCAAAAATGCTTCGACGGGACTGTCCTTCTCGACCGGCTGTCAGGCCGGAGAATCTACCCCCGCAAAAAAGTTACGGTCATCCACTACAAGCTCCCCGCCAGGTGATCGGGAGCGGCCAAGAGGGGGGTGTCCAAGAGGGGGGGGTGCAGATCATGACGGGCGGCATGTGCGCGGCCCAGCGGGGGGGCCTGGGACGTAATGAAACAAGAAGAGGCGCCATGAAATCTGAAGAAAAATCATGGCCCGCGCCATGATATCCAGCCCCCCCTAGTCATCCTCCCTCTTTTCCGCCCCCGATATGCGGAAGACGCCCACCTTCACCTCGAGGCCACCGCCGATGCTGGGGCACGGCGGGCCGTCGCCCGGCTCCCGCGACTCGGGCGACTCCCCGGATGGCACCCGAACAAGCGCCCAAGCAGTCAAGCCCCTTGTTCAGAGCCCCGAATCATCAGGGGTAACTCGGGTCAGGGCTAACTCGGGTTCGTTTTTCGGGATTCCGAGCCCGAGTTACCCCGGACCCGAGTTACCCCGGATAACTCGGGCGTCCATGGAGCCCCGAATCATCAGGGGTAACTCGGGTCAGGGCTAACTCGGGTTCGTTTTTCGGGAACCCAAACCCGAGTTACCCCAGACCCGAGTTACCCCGGATAACTCGGGCGTCCAACTTGTCGCCAGCATGTGCGCTACTGACACTGATATCCAATCGCCCAGCGAGAAAGCAGTGACCCTTTACAACAACGCTGCGTTTACTGCCACGAGGCCCGAAGGGTTCTCCTGGATCTCGTGATGGGCTCTCGACGCTCTCGTCATTCCTGGGCAAGCTATCTAACCTGGGGCCATCGCGCAGAGGGGGCTTTGCTTGGGCAGTACCAAAGCCGAAGCCCTGCGCGACCACGCGCAATACTTCCACGGTGACCGCAGTGGGTGGGAGTTTGGCAAACGATTGCCCAACTCGAATTGAGTGGGCCAGCGTTCAGAATGATGTTCTGGTGCACCCGCTTGTCATGGTTCCACCTGCTAGTGGGTTTTTTCCTGCAAGTGTTCTGGGCGTCTCAGAGAAGAACACTCCTGCGGCGCATGCCTATCGCAAGACACAACCTGGGTGTCCTCGCTGCGGTCAAACACGTCTAGACGACTACTTTGCCAACTCGTGGCTACTTAAAACGAAAGGTACGGATATTTACACAACGTGGCAACTTGGCCTCCTTCGCAGCTACCTGACCGCACCCAGCTGAAAAAAAAATCCAGGCTGGCATCTCTGCTGATCCATCCCCCGATGCGACGACTGCAACTAACAATATGAACATCAAGAAACCACCATTTGGAAATGCCAGCGCTTGCAGTCCGAAGCGGCGGCTATGAAACCATGATCACCGAGCAGCACTGGAGAGACCTGCCGCCGCATACCTGACACTGTGGCCTCCGCAGAGAGGCCTAACTGCCCAATCTCGAATTCGCTACTTCTGGAAACGAACTGAACTCCCACAGGCCATCCCGCGGCCGCTTCCCCGGGGTTCCGACGGCGCTTCCCACGAGGGGTGCACAGACGACGCTGGGGCCCGATGGGCGCACGCGGCCCCTGACGGGGCCTGCTCGCACCAAGGCCCATCCGCTCCTCGCCGGGGATGGTTTCGAAGAGTGTGCTGCGGGCTAACCACGCTGAAGACAACTCGGCTCGTGCGCGCAGCCTGGCGCAGCCCGCCCAACGGGCTGAGACTCTCGCCGTGCTCCATCTGGTCTTACAGACCTGCTGTCGCCATCCGTGACCGGCGTCACCGGACGCTTCCTGTGCCAGACGTATAAGGGCGGGCTACTCAGGGTTTGCACTCAGCTAAATGGCGCCCGATCCGCTCACCACTGGTCACAGCGGGCAGGAGCTACCAGGCTCACAAGAAGGCCCTGCTCATCATGACGGTACACCGGGACCCGACTTTTTCGACGCACCCAGTGACCCATGGGCGGGCCTACTTGACGACTGCGAAGAACAAGACCAAGACCCGTTTGAACTAGGCACCTCCCTGAACGAAGACGAAAGCAACGACGCTTCCCCCTCGCAAAGTCACAACAGCGCACCAGCGATGGGCACAGCGAGCACGACGAGTCTTCAGCGGTCAGAATCATACGACCCACGGCCAAGAGGACCATGCAGCCACTACCAGTCTCCCTAACCCACCAGGTCACTCCCCCATCCCACCAAGGCAGGGGACCAGTGAACTGTCCGCGTCCGTCGACTGAACAGGCCCCAGCGGGACGGGGACCCAGCGAACGGACCGAAGGCAATCCCTCACGCAGCACCTTTTGGAGGTCAGGAAACAGCCAGAGGGTGGTCGCCAAACGGTCCCAATCGCTAGCATCAATGCGCTGCAACAGCGGGCCAATCACCTAGCCCAATCTCTCCCGCACATCCAAGAACAGTCAGCCCCGTTTCTTGACAGGTTCCACTAGGCACAAGCTGCCTGGGACGGCCTCCAGCAGGCGTTCTGGCCTGCCGCCTCTCTTAAGGCGCCCCTCCAATAAAGCCTCCAAGCAAACATAGCTTGCTGCTCAAAGCACGGCACCAGTGCTAGCGCCACTCCTCCCACAATGGACTCCGTGAACAGATGGCGCCTGTTCCGTTGTCCTCATATTGGGCCGGCGCGGCCCTCCGAGTTTTTTATGTTTATGTCACTTTCTGTTCCACGAGATACCGAGCCTGGCTAATTAACGTCGGCCCTCGGTGCCAACGCACTCACGCTGCGTGCTGGTCTTGCGCGCGGGCGGCAGCGGGAAAAGGAGGAGACGAGCAAGCGGGCAGCGCGTGGCTAGTTATATACCAAGATCAGGGGAGTGCCTACGAACGGTGCCGTAACGACATCCTACCCCCCCTCCTCTCCCTGTCCCTGCTCATCCTCCCCACCCTCCCTCGTAGTGGGCCCCGGAAACGGCAGGGCCGTTTGTTCACCGTCTCCGAAAAAATGTCCCTTGAAAATGGAACCGGCAACAAAAACGGCAAAACGGAACCGGTAAAAAGACGGCCCTGTCGTCTCCAGGGCCCACTAAACCTCCCCCTCCATCCACCCCCCACCCGCGCCGACACCGCAGGACCCCCCCCCTCGGGATCCTCGGCCTGGGCGGGTCGGGGTGCCAGGCCGAAGACCTCGGGTGAACGGGGCGCGCACTGGCTGATCTGCCCTCCACCTTCCGCCCGGTGATCCTTCTGCTGCTGCTCCTTGACGTCAGTCTGCCCCCCAAATTCGCTCCCTCGTGTAGCGAAGCAGTCCTGCCTTGATCCCTCCAATGGGCTCGTGGACCTGTGGAAGGGCCATGATTTCATCATCAGCCCAGCTCTCCCAAGTCCTGAGTCTGTGGCAGTCTGGGCGGGGCCTCACTGGTTCAGCGGGCACTTGGTGCAGTGAAGATCTGGGACGGGAGAAGGCGCACTGCCGCATCGGTGATGTGCACCTGGTTCACCTCTAGTGTTAGGTCGGGCATGTCCCCCAACAGGTGGATTTTGAACGAAAAATAAAAAACAATTTGCTCAAACATATTCAAAAATACTGGGAAAAATCGTTCCAGGCTTATTTTTGACTACTTTTGAATATTTCTCCCGTCGAAGGACATGCCCGACTTAACTCTAGTGGTTAAGTACTCCCTCTTCCCCACCTCCTCCTCCTCCTCCTCCTCCTCCTCTTCCTCCTCCTCCTCCTCTATCGGGTGAGGCGCAAGGGGCAGCCAGCACGGAGGGGATTGGCGAATCGACTCACACAACATAGCCGATGCTCCCCTGTCTCCTCCCAGCGCCAGGGTCGCCGATGCATCGAGGAACGTGGCTGGCAGCGGGCCGACACCGACTGCATGCAGCAATGTTCTACCTCCCCCTCCCTTAGGAGGCAACTACTGGGAGGTCTTCGTCGGAAAAATTAAGGATAATTAAACCCCACTGGGGGGCAATACGCAGGATTAGGCCGCGGATTAACCGGGATTAAGCCGGATTCAGCAGGATTAAGCCAGATTAAGCGGGACTAAGCCGGATTCAACCAGATTTCGGACCAGGGAAAAATCAGAATTTGATCTCCCAAGAGTTGCATCCGAACCTCCCTGTCCCATCCTTCCGTCCGACCCGGTTCTATCCCTCGGGGCAGAGGTGGCTTCGGAAGAATAACCAACAGATCGTCCGTGCTCTCTCCTCCCCTGCCCACTCCGCCCCTTCTCACCCCGCCCTCTCTCAGGCACAGCGCGACGTCGCGATGCGGCAAGGGCGAGCAACCAGCCGGCAGAGCAAGGCCGATCGGCAACGGGTGGATGGAGGCCGACTTGGCCCGGAGCCGCCAACGCCAGGCTGAGGGCCTCTCTCCTCGCACGGAGGGGGAGGCAGTGCAGGCGGGAATCCAGTGCTTACGAGGCGGAGGAGGGAGACGAGGAGGAGGAGGAGGAGGAGGAGGAGGAGGAGGAGGAGGAGGAGGAGGAGGAGGCCGACGACGAGGAGGACAAGGACAAGTACAAGGCGCCAGCAGAGCGAGTCGAGCGACCCGGCTACGACAGCTGCCCTTTGCACTTGACCACGGGGACCGAAACGGCACCCCGAGTATCGTTGACCCCTGGCACCGCTGCTGGTCGAGTGCCTCTGGGGGACCCCGAACCCTTCGGCTCCCGGCGAAAATCCGCCGACCCCTTGGGGATCATCGGCGTGTGAGATGCTTCCCCCTCCCCAAACCCCTCCCCCGGGAGCCCGGTCCGGTCGATTTGGAGGGGGGGGGGGGTCCGGGACGAGCGCAGCACGGCCGGGACGAGCGCAGCACGGCCGGGACGAGCGGTTCACGGGGCTTTTCCGGGCCCAAGAGGGCCTCAAGACGGGCCAAGAAGCCCCCAAGAGGCCTCCAAGACGGCCCACGAAGGCCCCGAGACGCCAAACGACCGCTCCAAGACGCCCAAGATGGCCCCAAGACGGGCCAAGAGGTCTCCAAGACGGCCCCCGAGGTCCCAAACAAGCCTCCCAAGAGGGCCCCAAGAGTCTAAAATTGTTGATTTTCCATAGTGTTTTCCGATGTTTTTTGCTTTTCCGCCTTTTCGGCTTCCCGACGCTCCAAGACGGCCAAAGAGGCCCCAAAGACAGCCCCAAGATGGCCCAAGAGGCCCCCAAGACGGCCTCCAGACGGCCCAAGACGGCCCCAACACGGCCCAAGAGGTCCCCAAGACGGCCCAAGAGGGCTTCAAGACGGCACCAAGAGGGGCCCAAGAGGGCGACCAAACATGTTGAAACTCTAGCTTTCTGCCCCCAGGAGCCCCAGGGGGCCCCAAGAGTGCCCCAAGAGGCCCCCAGAGGCCCTCACGAGGCCGCCCAGACGCCCCAGGGAACCCCCAAGAAGCACCCCAGAGGCTCCGACACGGCCCCCAAGTGGCTCCAAAACTCGCTTCCAAAGGCCCCCGAGAAGCGATCCGCGAGATCCCGATACAAGACGACCGCCCGCGGTGTCGCCGTCCGCTCGGACCCCCCCGCGGAACTGCCCGAGACCCTCTGGCGGTGGCGGCGAACAGACACCAAACAAATATCACTCGCCTTTTCACCCCTTCGCAGCTTCTACTACCCCTAGATTGGCATAAACAAGGGGTCGGCGGTGTGGCGTAAGCCTAAGAATCAGCCTGGCGAAGGACCAAACTATATTCATTTGCGAGTGCCGCGAGATAGGTGGAAAGTAGAGAAGGGGGTTGGCAAATGGCTTGAGGCGTGCGTGCAGATGATAGATCAACGATGCCCATTGGGTCACAAATGTCAGCCGCAACGGGTTACATCTGGATGTAATCCCTCACTGCTGATCTGAGCGTCTGTCGGAACGGGCGCGGTCTGGGGATCAGCAGGCTGTGGGGCCACGGAACGTGCTAAGGGTGTGCCAAAAAGGGTTCGGTCCCGCATGCGAGTCCTGCCACTGGGGCTTTTGGCGGATTTTTAGGGGGGCGCGAGACGTGCGAGGAGTGTGCCGTCACGCATGTGATTCCCGCCACTGGGGCCTTTGGCGGAGCTCCCTGCGGGGCCATGGAACGAGCGAGGGGTGTGCCGACATGGGCACGGTCACGCATGCGATCCCTGCCCTCGGGTCTTAGCTGGAGCTTCCCACGGGGCCACGTGTGAGAGGTGCCGAAGTGACCGCGATCACGCATGAGATTCCCACTGGGGCCTATAGTGGAGCTCCCTACTGGGCCACGAAAAATGTAAGCATTTGCCGAGAGATGGTTACAATGATCTGGCGAAGGACCCAACCATATGCAGCTGTGGGTACCGCAATTGTGAATACCTTCTTCGGTGAAGCTCCCCATGGGGCCACGAAGCGCTGCACTGGGTGGGGGTGGAACGCATGCGGGCGGTAGCACTGGGGCCGTCGGTGGAACTCCATATGGGACAATGAAACGCTGTACTGGGTGGGTGGAAATCCCAAATTGGGTGTGTGGGACGCATGCGGGCGGTCCCACTGGTGGCTGTGGTGGAGCTCCCCATGGGGCCACGAAGCGCTGTGCTGGGTGTGTGAAAATGCCAGGTGTGTGGGACGCACGCGAGCTGTCCCTCTGGCGGTCTCGGTGGAGCTCCCCATGGAGCCACAAAACGCTTTACGAAGTGGGTGGAACTGCCAAATTCGGCTTCCGGGACGCATGCGGACGGTTCCATCGAAGGCTTCGGTGGAGCTCCCTATGGGGCCACGAAGCGCTGTACTGGGTGGGTGAAAATGCTAAATTCGGTTTCCGGGACGCATGCGGACGGTCCCGGTGGGGGCTTCGGTGGAGCTCTCTATGGGGCCACGAAGTGCTGTACTGGGTGGGTGAAACGCAGGGAGGGAGGGTGCTGAGGGCACTGACAACTCGGGCGCGTCATGGTGCCCCTCGCCACACGGCGCAATAAGAGCTTAATCGCTGTCGATAAGCTCGGGTGCCTCCTTCTAAAACCTCTGGCAGGACCTCTCCCACTTCACAAGATCATCAGGCGAGGCGAAACCATGACATTTGGCGATTGGGACAGCCTGAAGGCCCCGAAAGCGGAGGCGAAAACTCCACCCCGCACCATATCCTCTGGCATCAGGGCTGTCGCGGCTGCCAGCCGATCCTTGTCCTCCAACAAACTCGCTGTCAGGGATCCCCGCAGCAACAGCAGCAGCATAGCCCCCACCGGCGCCAAGCAGAGGACCCCAAACAGCTTTCATCGCAAGGTTCGATCCAAAGGAAGGGCCCACCCCGGTTTTTCCATGAGCGCGCCCTGGGAACAATGCCCGATTCAACTTCGACCGCTGGGTCTTGAGGCCAGGATGCTTGGAACCCTTGCGCTCCTCTCTGTGACCTCGCGCCGACGCGTGCGCCGAGGCTCCACAAAATTTGCAAAACAAACTATCATTTAAGTCCTTGCCCTGGTCGGTGACAGAAGCTTGCACTAGCGAGCGACCCCTGGCAACCCAGGGAACACCAGAGACAGAGACAAAGGAAACATCTACTTCCCCCGATTCAACAGACCCAATCACAGTGGGCGGAAGGGGGCAGGCCAGGAGCGGGGCGAGAAGGCTCAGCCCCCACAGCCAAGGCCCAATCCCCGAAAGGCGCCACACCTTCTTCTAATCAGGCCTGAATTAGACCAGGGGGTAGATCAGCATCCAAGACAATGTCCGCAGTACCTACAAGATCCTGCGAGTCTGGCTGCTCTAATTCTCCAAAAACTTCTTGGCACCTGCTCTGCCGCTTCACAAGTGTCCGAGGCAATTCTTTCATGTCCCGAGACAAAATCAAGGTGATCCTGAGAGACGTTCCAGCGGCGGGTTCCTCTCTTGGCCCACCTATCAGCAAGAGCGTTACCTTTAATCAGCCAGTCGCCCTGGTCCGAGGTGGCGGCACCTAAGCTGCTGTGAGCCTCCACTTTACAAACGGTGGCCATTCTGCCGATGCCACTCCACAACTCTCCCCACATGTGACGACTAAGGTTAGAGACTGAGAGGGCAATGCTGGAATCTGTCGAACCACCTAGCGTGCCTGAGCAATCCGCGTGGACAACCAGCCGGCGGTCAGTAGACCATTCACAAAATTGAAACAGCATCCTGAACCCCCGGCCAACCGGCCCGAGCCGCCTGCCCCAGGGCCGCGCGGAGCGGCGCCGCGCCGCGCATGGCGCCGATCAAGCTGCCAGATGGGTCGATCTGAACGACCGACCATCCTGCGCGACTGAAGCCCTGGAGGTGGGAATTAAACGCCGAGCCGTCCACGAAGACGGCGCCCGAGAACTTCCACCCGTGGGAAACTCCTACCAGCCTGAGCTGCCCCCCCTGAGGAACCTCTTTGCAAGGGAAGCAAAGAGACAGGTAGGGGGAAAGGCATCTGGCCATGAGCTCTCCAGCTTCCTCCCCGATCTGCCTCGCGCACTGGGCGGCCTGTATGACATGCTGAGGGCACTCCTCTCGCCTGACCTGGAGACACCTGGGGCAATCGCAAAAACGGTACCACAAGGTGCCTCTCGTGTCGCAATGAACCGAAGCATCTGACTGAGCCTAACCCCTAGAATGCAACCGAGCTTGAGGCCAATGGGATCCTCCAACCAGGCTCCGAACGGCAGCAGCACGATGCTGCGACCAGCTGTCAAAGTCCCCACTGATGAGGCGAGCGTGGGGAGGCCAGTTGAGGAGGGAGACGCAGGGGCGTGGACTCTCTCCAACGCCGCGACGCAAGCATCCTGGAGCGCCAGGGGCCTGACAATATCAAGAGAGAGTGCAGGAGAGACGTCAGCAATATTGAACCCCCCTTGCCTGGAATGCCGGAGCACATCGGCAGAGGGCAAGTTGCAACCGATCCTGGCGAGAGAGAGAGAGAGAGAGAGAGAGAGAGAGAGAGAGAGAGAGAGAGAGAGAGAGAGAGAGAGAGAGGACTGCAGCCTGAGACGGGTCGACAACTTGTGACCAAGGCCCCTCTTTTTGTTCCAGCAGGCACCGCGGCTCCTGCAAGCAAGCCTGGAGTGGGCCAAGCCTTGGCAAGACAGACTGCGCACTCAATGCCCAATGCTTGATCACATCACATACCACAATGACCCAGGGATCTATGGTGACGCTTCCGGGGGTGGCGCGCAACCTGAAACCGGCCGAGGTACCTGGATGAAACCGCCCTTCACCCCTGAGGGTGGCTGGCCTGAGAGCAGCGGGCTTCAGGTCAGCAGTGCCCGCGACCGCCGCCCTCCACACCGCCGTCGCCGTAGGAGAGCCCCTCATGATCGTGCTGGCGCTTGCCCCCGCTTCCCTCAGGGCAACAACGCGCGATGGTACCGAGGCTGCTTTGACCGTCCGTTCGTTCTGACCCGTGACACTTCGCACAACGCCACTGTTGGCATCTGCGCCAAGA